TCAAATGTTTGTTTACCCACAAATACAGGAAATAATTTTCGTTTATTATTATCGGTTTCCTGAAACAAATTTTGCGGTTTGTCGCTTTCCTCACACTCAACACACACTCTCACACACACATAGAATATAACAAAAAATAGGAAAATTTAGTTTCCATTATGTGTGTCACACACCAACTAACCAACCAACAAACTCACCCATCCCACCATCACCAACCGCAACCAAAGTTTGGGATCTGGCAAATTAATGGCCAAATATTCCACGGATTACTGTTTAGAAGTCGACACAAATAACGGTTAGTTGTACAAACTGGGGTATTAGCCTGGCCACAAAAAGCCCATTACAAGTAAAAGTTTATGACAACCAAGTTGAAAGTTCGGTTGGTTGTTTTCTAGTTCAGTCCATGTCACCCGAAGCCCACAAGACAATTTCGTCCATGTTCGTTCGAGCATTTAACAAATTAAACTTTACAATTTGTTAACCATTTTTTGTCGTTGTTGTTATTAAATTAAGCTTAGGCAAATTGTGTACAAAAAACAAGGGTGTTAACATCAAATGGGTCAATTGAGGGCACAGTTTGTTAATTAATTGACCGGAGAGTCATCAGAAACTACATACGATATTTTATGACATTTTTCATAGCTTGGCAGGTACAGATGTGAGCATATGAGCCTTATATTGAATATATTTTTGTATAGCGTTATTAGTTATAAAATCTTCTAAAGTATTGTGCATATCGATTGTTTAATTAAATTTTGAAATCACATGAAATTGGCAAATTTTTTTTGTACATCGTTATTATTTATAAAAGCTTCAAATAAATACAATTTTAATAAAATTTTGAAATCACATGAAATGGATTAATTTTCTCTTTTGCGAATGTATTTATTAAAAAAGTACAAAGCCGATATTATTGACTTACAGGAAATGCGAAAGAAAGGCATAAGCGTAAGTAAATCAGATGATTACGCAATGTATTATAGCTGCCATGAAACGAGGCATGAATTTGACTGCCGATTTATTGTGAACAGGAGAATAAAACACCTCGTCTCCATCCGTATAAAATATAAGTTCTTCTCCATCAGACTCAGTTGCGGCCATGCTCCGACGGAAGACAAAGATGAACAGATCAAACATCTCCTCGAAACATCATAAGACCGCTGCCCTGCCATTTCTGCTAGGAAATTTTAATGAAAAAATCGGAAGGGAAAATATCTTTGGCCCCACCGTTGGAAAATTCAGCCTCCACGAAGAAATATCCGACAACGGAATGAGGTTGATTGACTTCGTGGCAGCAAAAAACATGGTAGTTTGCAGGAAGTATCTCGATATACACAAGGCCACAGGGATTTCTCCTGATTAAGCAACGAGAAATCAAAAAGATCATAAGGCCACATGGATTTCTCCTGATTAAGCAACGAGAAATCAAAAAGATCATGTTGTGATAGACGGAAAGCATTCATCCAGTGTATTAGACGTTCGATCGATCGGCCAAGGTTCGGACTTGTCTTAATGTAGCAGCAAATGTGCGATCTTATTTAACACGGAAATTCGACGTCGAAAAGTTGCAAAAACAACAGAGTGCAGAAGCCTACTCCGTTCAACTTACCCACCGAAGGCACTGCTTGTCCTGATAGTAATACTATTGAAGCACGCAAACTGGCCCTCTAAATACAAACAGCATCATAATCAACACTTGGGTAGCAAAAAACCACCATCAAGAAACCCATGGTACGGTTAGGAGTGTCGTAATGCTACTAATGTGAAAAACGCAGGATATAGGGCAACCCTGCAGACAGTGGCAGGTCGTAATGCGATGGAGAATTATCGGGAGAAAAGGAGAATGGAGAAACGCATTTTCAGAAAAAAAGAAAGAACAAGAAAGGCCTGAGCGGGAGCAAATCGAAATGTACAGGAGTCAGAATGAAGTCCGGAAATTTTGCCAAAGAGTAAAACACCAAACCGAAGGCTTTGGTGCAGGGACATCCTCCCGTAGAGATGAAGAAGGAAACCTGGTGAGAGATACAGACAGGGTGTTGAGGATCTGAAAGGAGCATTTTGCAAAGCTTCTGGTATTAAATAATAACGACGAAGAAAATACCCTAGAATAAATATAACATGACGGTGTATATTGTATACCACTTAGCCAAGATGAGGTCAGAATAGCAAGTAATCGACTGAAGAATAATAAAGGAAAAGGTGCCGATAGATTACCAGCCGATAAGGTAAGGAGAATGCTCAAGTTGATTAGTACAATTTGGCTAGAGGAACGCATGCCCAATGATTGGAACCTCAGCATCCTGTGCCCTCCACAAGAAAGAAGACAAGATGATATGTGCCAACTATGGAGGAATAAGTCTATTTCCCATCGCATATAAAGTGCTATCTGACGTGTTGTGTGAATGACGGAAGCCAATGGTCAATGATATTGTTGAATCGTATCAATGCGGATTCAGACCTGGCAAATACACAAGACCTAGACCAGATTTTCACATTGCGTCAAAATCACATCGACACATTCCACATATTCGTCGACTATTAAGCCACATTTGACAGCCCAATCCCCTCAGAGTTGTTTAAAGCCTTGTCTGCGTTCGACATTCCTGCAAAATTAATACGGCTATGCAGGATATCTTTAACTGGTAGAAGGTCTGCTTCGAAATTCGGAAAGGACCTCTCAGAGCCCTTCAATACCAAACGAGGATTCAGACAAGATGACAGTTTGTCGTGTGATCTTTTTAACATTCTGCTGGAGAAGGTCATGGGAGATGCAGAAGTGAGCAGAAATGGTTCTCTGTACACCAAAAACACATGTTACTCACTTACGACGATGACATCGACAAAATTTGTCGTACATTGCGAGAGGTAACAGTCTGCCAAAGTGGGACCGGCAGAAAATGGCGAGAAATGTCTAAGCTGATGGTCTAAACGCGCAAGAGGTTCAGTAGACTAGGACCAACTGGGAAACTTAAAAATTACAGCTTTGAGGTAGGCAAATATTTTATATACCTCGGTATTTTATATACCTCAGCTGTGAAATCCGGAGAAGAATAGTGTAATATGGTTTGATTATGCAATTCAAAACAAGACAATCTCTCCCCTGACCAAATTCACCCTCTGCCTAGACGCTGATACTACCCGTGCTGTTGTATGGATACTTGCACATGCAGGTGAGGCAGCTCTAGGAGTGTTTGAGAAAAAATTCGATAGTAAATCAACCATGAGTTGTGCCATCTATTCTCGAACATCGATGTAGTCAGGCCTATCGAGCAGCAGCGACTACGTTGGCTAGGTCAGGTTATGAGAATGGATGAGGATGTCCCAGCTTAAAATGAATAGAAAAGCGAGCCAACTGATGGTTTACGCAGAAGAAGAAGGCCACGAATTCGATGGAAAGATCAAGCGGAGTAAAACATTTCGTAACATGGAAGAGCTGGGCACAAAACCAATGCGCTGGAAATCTCTTTTAAGTTCGGCTTATGGAACAAATGTTCTGTCTGTTGAAATCACGATAGAGTTCACAATATATTAAGATCAGCAATAAATTTGGTATTGAGGATTCTCACTGGGTAGAAAATCTGTTTACTAAAAATTGTCAATATTGGGTAGCCCCCTTATTTGACGTTTTAACATTAGCGAGGTCTCAACTGCTTATGTTTTTCCATAAATCACGAAAATTGTCTGGACATGGCGGCCAGTTGACCCTCATTGGCAATCACTAATTGCGCTCATTTTTCCACTCTCTCTCTTTTGACAAAAACAAATGTCTTCATACCAAGAAAAAAGCCACCACCATTCATTGTTGACATGTGTTTTGTCTTGGTATCGTCCTCGGACTCTCCTCTCACTTGGTGGTTGTTAGTTTTGCAACCGTTTGTTTGTCTATCGTTGATGGTCTCTCCACTCTCTCGATTGTAGCTTTTTTTGCCTTCCATTGCATTCTTTATTTCAAACATTTTTATTAGAAAATTCGTATATATATTTTCCAATTTTTTTCGATTTCAATGCCAAATACAATATTAAAAATAAGTGTTGATACGAGCAATGGAAAGTTTAGCATTGTATAGGATTGTGATAATGACGCAAAATAAAAACATGTAAATAAGTAAGAAAATCGAGACAAGAGAAAACCAATACGAAAACATAAAATCAAAACGACAAATATTTTCTCAGCCACCACCACTAAACAAAACTCCAAATTTGGGGAATGGGGAATATTTTCTATTTGTAAGCTTATTTGGCAATACTGTTACTTACCATTTTTTCCAGCCTACTGCTCCACATTTAATTCCAAATATTTTTTTGTAACATTTGTTTATTTATTATTTATTTCATAATTTTATTTTTAATTTCATATTGTTTTTGTTTATTTATATTTATCATCTTTGGTATTTTATTTGGACAAAAAATTAGAAAAATTATTTTCTAAATGAAATGGTTTGTTTGGAAAACTTCTTGTTGTTGTTTTTGTTTTGTTTATTCATTATCTCTTAGAATTAATGCATATGTACCATGTTTCATTGTTTTTAGCAATTATGTAGTTAGGCAACAAATTATACAAAAAATATTTAATTAATTAATAATACTAATTATAATTGTTAATAATAATACTTTATCATATTACATCATCATCATTGTCGTCATCAGCTGACTCTGATTCTTGGACTTTACTGGCGTCATCATCTTCCTCCTCTTCGTTTCGTTTCGTCTCATCTACATCTGTTTCATTTAGTATTTGTTGTTGTTTTGTTTTTACAATTGATTTTAGAGGTCAACAATATTTATTTCATTTAAAGGCACTTTGGGATCAATACAAATACAGTAGTCTTAAATTTTTTGTTGTTTTTGTTTTTGGAATAGAATAAATTATCGAATGCTGTTAGAAAATACGAAAAAAATCGAAATTATATTTTCACTCGCTTGCGGCGAGATCTGATGATGGCAAACCAATGGTGTGGATTTTGTTTTACTTGTTTTTTGTTGTTGTTGTTGTTGTTAAAATGACATACCAAACCATACTACGGGACACGATGCTCAAATCCCCAGGGTGACAACAAAGAACATTATTGGGGGCTAGGAATGAGGGGGTTCAATTTTTTAAATTAAAAATTTTAAAATATAGCTTCTCCTTCTTACCTCTGTTCAGGACTTTACACACAGTGTAACCATCCCAACAGCTTAAAGCTGTGGCACCTATTACGGTTTTTGATGGTCATGGTCTTGTATTGATTTTTCGTTTCGGAACTATACAAGATACAATTATCGTTTTTATTTTCATATTGGCATTTCATTTGCAGCTTCTTCTCAGATTGTTTTTGTTTGGCAAATACATTCGTAAAAAAGGAGCAATAGCTATAATAAAAAAATTTATATTTTTTTGAAACTTAAAAACCAAAGAGTTGAAATATTTCTAAGAACTTACTCTAAAGCCTGAACCAGCGGCTAGACATTTCTGCGAACTCTGCTACCATCGATACCGTAGCCATTTGAACGTCTCTTAGTTTGGCTGTTAATTGCAGCTACAAATTTCTGAGTACATATTCCATGGTATTGGATACTGTCACAAAAAATGTGGGATATGCCATGGAGGAGTATTCCAAAGAAAACGTGGGGAATTTCTAGAGAGAGAAAACATTTAAAATTAAATAAAAAATATTAAACTATTTGTAGAAATAAAAAATATTAAAATATTTGTAGAAAAAATATTTTCAAGGACTCAAATGGCGAGGTTTTTTAAAAGTCAAGGACTTTCAAGGCTCACAAAGCGTGGATTTTTTAAATAATATTTTTTCAAGGATTCAAGGACTTTCAAGGCTCACAAGGCGTGGATTTTTTTAAATAATATTTTTCAAGGACTTTCAACGCTCACAAGGCGTGGATTTTTGTTAATAATATTTTTTCAGGGATTCAAGGATTTTCAAGGCTCACAAGGCGTGGATTTTTGTTAATAATATTTTTCAAGGACTTTCAAGGCTCAGAAGGCGTGGATTTTTTAAATAATATTTTTTCAAGGATTTAAGGACTTTCAAAGCTCACATGGCGTGGATTTTTTAAATAATATTTTTTCAAGGATTTAAGGACTTTCAAAGCTCACATGGCGTGGATTTTTTAAATAATATTTTTTCAAGGATTTAAGGACTTTCAAAGCTCACAAGGCGTGGATTTTTTCAAGGATTTAAGGACTTTCAAAGCTCACAAGGCGTGGATTTTTTAAATAATATTTTTTAAGGCGTGGATTTAAAATAATATTTTTTTCAAGGCGTGGATTTTTTTAAAGAATATTTTTTTAATGCGTGGATTTTTTTAAATAATATTTTTCAAGGACTTTCAAGGCTCACAAGGCGTGGATTTTTTTAAATAATATTTTTCAAGGACTTTCAAGGCTCACAAGGCGTGGATTTTTTTAAATAATATTTTTCAAGGACTTTCAAGGCTCACACGACGTGGATTTTTTTAAATAATATTTTTCAAGGACTTTCAAGGCTCACAAGGCGTGGATTTTTTTAAATAATATTTTTCAAGGACTTTCAAGGCTCACAAGGCGTGGATTTTTTTAGATAAAATTTTTCAAGGACTTTCAAGGCTCACAAGGCATGAATTTTTTTAAATAATATTTTTCAAGGACTTTCAAGGCTCACAAGGCGTGGATTTTTTTAAATAATATTTTTCAAGGACTTTCAAGGCTCACAAGGCGTGGTTTTTTTAAATAATATTTTTCAAGGACTTTCAAGGCTCACCAGGCGTGGATTTTTTTAAATAATATTTTTCAAGGACTTTCAAGGCTCACCAGGCGTGGATTTTTTTATATAATATTTTTCAAGGACTTTCAAGGCTCACAAGGCGTGGATTTTTTTAGATAAAATTTTTCAAGGACTTTCAAGGCTCACAAGGCATGAATTTTTTTAAATAATATTTTTCAAGGACTTTCAAGGCTCACAAGGCGTGGATTTTTTTAAATATTTTTCAAGGACTTTCAAGGCTCACAAGGCGTGGATTTTTTTAAATATTTTTCAAGGACTTTCAAGGCTCACAAGGCGTGGATTTTTTTAAATATTTTTCAAGGACTTTCAAGGCTCAAAAGACGTGGATTTTTTTAAATAATATTTTTCAAGGACTTTCAAGGCTCAAAAGACGTGGATTTTTTTAAATAATATTTTTCAAGGACTTTCAAGGCTCAAAAGACGTAGATTTTTTTAAATAATATTTTTCAAGGACTTTCAAGGCTCAAAAGACGTGGATTTTTTTAAATAATATTTTTTGAAGGATTCAAGGACTTTCAAGGCTCACAGGCGTGGATTTTTTTAAATAATAGTTTTTCAAGCATTCAAGGACTTTCAAGGCTCACAAGGCGTGGATTTTTTTTAAATAATAGTTTTTCAAGCATTCAAGGACTTTCAAGGCTCACAAGGCGTGGATTTTTTTTAAATAATAGTTTTTCAAGCATTCAAGGACTTTCAAGGCTCACAAGGGGTGGATTTTTTTTAAATAATATTTTTCAAGGTCCCACAATTTTTTTCTAGTACATTTTTTAAATAATATTTTTTCAAGGACCCACACTTTTTTATAGTAGATTTTTTAAACAATATTTCTTCTAGTTGATTTTTAAAGGAATTTGTTGTCACTGATGGACAATATTTATTCACTTTTTTACTCTGCTTCATACGTCCTGTTTTATATTCACATCGAGGTTACCATGTGTTATCCTTCCTTTGCTAACCCACATTTTCCAAGAGATAAATTCAAAATTAGATTTCAATTCCCCTAAATAATATTCATAATTTAATTGAATTAATTTAATAATATATTTTTGAGTTAAATTGTTTAGAAATAATATTCTCTTAGTCAGAGTCACAATGCAAATGAAGTGCCAATCTCTAGATTGTCACACATTTTGCATTAGGACGACAAATTGAATATGCAAATGTAACATTTTGAAATCCATTTTTAAACTCGGTCGGTAATGTGGTCATATATGTATATGTATATGCAGGAACATTTTTGTCATATGCCTAAAAGCCACAATACACAAATATATGTCACACACATACACCGATAGATATACAACTGCCTAATTTTTATGTGCATTTGGCATAATGGAAAAATATCCCTGAATGTTGAAAACAGATAGGCCAACAAGAACAACAACAACAGATCCTTGTTGCCTCCGACTCTATGCCTTTAGTCTTAAGTATAGTTTTGATAGAGGTTTTGCTTTTGTGGTTTCCCAGCAATTTGCCATAGTAGAAAATATTACCACATCGAAATGGTAGAGTACAGATGACATGGACTTTTTTGCAAAAAAGCTGTACTTAGTTTGAAGGGAAACAAGAAGAAATAGATGCCTGCCTGCATGGGAATGGCCATTTAGTGACTTCACAGCTTCTAGTGGTCGTTCATTTCCATTCTTGAGTGTTATGATGTTGATAATCGTGAACTGGCCTATTGTCGAAGTTGAGTGCGATAAAAGGTTCGAAACAACAATTCATTGATTTCCCCAGAGTTTAAATAGGTTGGAAACTTCTAAAAATGGAAAATATACTAAAAGGGGGTGGGGCTAAAATTCATTGATTATTATATGTAGATAAATGCACTTGCACATAGAAGACATATATACAGTTATATGTGCCGATCTTTATAAAAATAGAAAAGTCAGTAGAGGGTTTTTTTCGAAATTTAAGGAAAATCGATTCAACTGAACTTTGTAATAATATCAGACATTAGAAAAAATAGACATCATGAATGACGTCTTCTCAATTATATCTAATTTTTCTGATAGTCAGAGTCACTTAGTGAACACATCACACATAACATGCCTGTATAAACTAATATTCTGTTCCAGTCCCATATACTTAGTATATAGATTGGAATCAAATATATACTTTTTTTGTATCCTCTACCAAATAACAAAAGTGCATTGACCTTCCATTTCGTATCTAACAAAAATTCAAGTACACACCCGAAAAACACTCTCCAGCACATCAATCGATAAAATTGTCCAATATTTTAGTGTGGTTTCAACATCAAATAATCCATTTGCTATTTTGATGACACAATGGTTGACCAAGAGCTGATTTTCGGCCAAAAAATTGTATTGGGGAGATCGATACTATACAACAGATGGATGGATGGATGGTGCTGTTGATGACATCGGCAATGTTTAACACATCATGTTGCAATTAGCTGTCGTCTGGCCGCTCTGACCAATGACAATAATATGGGGAACGTGTTTTAAGAAAACCACAGCAGACTATGTCTAAAATTTGTCCGGGCTATTATATGATTGTTGTAGTTTTGCTGTGTCTGTTTGTGTGGTTTATTTTTATTTTTTGTTCTGCAGCTCTTAAATGCATTAAATATACAATATGGCTGGAAATAGTTGTTTAGATAATTTTCGAATCCAGGGGATATAATTTGAAACGTGTGTATACATTTGACAAATAGTATAGAAAAATAGAGATTTGTTGCAATATTATTTTTCAAATATAGCCATTGAAAAAACTTAACTTCGATTCTGTTACTAACAGACTTCTTATACAAAGACATACGAGTCCTTTATCTATAGAAGAGATCTAGATTTTCCATATATCGGCAATTCGTCCATATATAGAAGGGCTCTAACATCGTTATAGCTGCAAAATCCCTATGGATACGGTCCTGTAAGTCAATTAAATATCTATCTAAAAATGTGGATAATTGATATTTCAGTAAAAAAAAAAACATAACAATAACAAAAAAATTCTCAGCACCATTGGGGATTAAAAAATGTTTTCATCATCATTAGAGAATAAATTTGTAGTCTTAATTCTTCGCATTATATTCCGTTTTTTATAAAATGGGAGGAACTGTTATCCTGGGAAAACTATAATTCATGATCCATCCATGCTCTTCAAAAATTCCATTCTTCGTTGGCCCATAAAAAATTTTGGAATTCGAAAATTTGTGTTTAAAAAAATGCAAAGAAGCCCTTTAAAATAAATAGTTCCTTCGTTGTATCCTTTGTTGGTCGTTGAAAAAAGAGTCATTAAAATCCCATAAACCCCATATTGTGGACCGATATTAACGACGCATGGTAGGGTGGAACATGTGTATAAAATCCTCAATATGTATATTGAGGGCGAAGTTGTATGAGGCCATCACCAACGTACACATGATTTTGTTTCGGATGGAGTGGGCAGCTGCTGGTTCAAATTTTGTATGCACACATTCCTGGAGACTA